GCAAGGTTCAGAGGAAACCGGGTCTGAGCTTGCAGGAGTCCTCTCCTGTGGAGTCATGCAGAATTGCTCAACTCTTCCACTGAGTTGTGTATGGGACACTGTCTGCTGGGAAGCTCAGCAGACTTTCAGTGGGGGTCACACAGCACCCTGTGCCTACCACGCACGGCCCCAGACCCGAAGGAGGGAATCATGAATCCCACCAAGCCACCTTGCTTATACAAACTGCTTAGCTCACGAAGCCACTCTTATCAGTTAGGGCATGCTGGGAACCTCCCCAATCCAAAGTCCCAGATGCCAGCCAGGGGCTAGCCTGGCTTTCTAAGGACAGCAGTTTTGGACCTGTTGTTTTACCTTTTCTTTTCTGTGCAGTTGTACAGAAAAGAGGCAAAGGTAAGCTTTTTTGGGTTCAAAATAAGTTCACCAAGCTTCTCTACAGGCTAGGAAGGAAACTTCTGAACTGGAAACGCCTGTAACCCTAGCTACTCGGGATGCAGAGATCAGGAGGATCACGGTTTGAAGGCAGCCTGGGGAAATAGTTCCCAAGACCCTGTCTCAAAAACCCCATCACACAAAATGTCTGGCGAAGTTGCTCAACTGGTACAGTGCCTGCCTAGCAAGTATGAGGCTGAGATCAAAACTCCATACTGCAATAATAATAATAGTAATAATAATAATAATAATAGTAATAACAACAACAGAAACTTCTGGATGAAAATGGAGATTCAGGTGACTTTTTTTTTTTCAGTGGTACTGGGGATTGAACTCAGGGGCTTACACTTGTTAGGCAGATGCTCTGCCACCTATGCCACTCCTCCAGTCCTTTTTGCTTGAGTTATTTTCAGATAGTCTTGTGCTTTTTTACTCAAGCTGGCCTCAAACCACAATCCTCCTACCTCTGCCAGCCACATTGCTGGAGTGACAGGTGTGAGTCACTGCACAGGCTCTGCTGCGGATCTTAATGACAAAACTCACCTCCCCTCTCTAGAGTAGGAAAACCACGAATTTGGCCCAACTGGACCTTAGGGCGGTGTAGCCGAGACGGGTAGTTTGCTTACAATCCATATGTCCTCAAGCTCATAGAGACCTTGTCAAACATGAAGCTACTCACTTCCTTTGTGTGCTCAGTTCCCTTTTTGCAGTTTCCCAAGTGGAATGGCTTTTCCTAATTTCTGGGAAGGCAGGACGATAAGTAAGCCTTGACCTTGGGTGCTCAAGGCTGTAGCACCAAGACATTGAATGACGTGGGTCACATGACTCCACTCCAAGTTCCCCAAAAAGAAGTCAGAATTTTGAAGCTCAGCCTCACGGGCCATGGGGAACCTTTGTCAGCACTCGGGTTCATGGCAGCAGTGCTCCGTGTGACACTTGAATTTTCTTCAGCCACAGGCGTCTCCCTGCGCCCACAGCCTCCTGGGGTTACCTGGTAGGGTAGAGCCACCTGCTTTTAGGCCTGTGATTGGCAAAATGGAAAGAAGAGATGAGCGTTCATCCCACAGGAAATTCCCAGAGGGAGACCCGAGTGTGCCCACTTTCTTCCTTCTAAACATCGACTTTGCCTCGAGTTCACTCGTGTTCAGCTCACCCGTTCCGGTGAGTAGTGGCACAGAAAATCCTTCATGGACCCTAATAATGGCGGTCGTTGTCACACCCTTGCTTCCCAAGGTGTGAAAGTTCCTTTGTACAGGGCAGTGTCCCATGAGTTTAATCATTGCTGTCATTTCTCTCTCTTCTCCATGTGTGTCCATCCTTCTTAAAAGTGTAGGCCAATATCAAACGAGTGTTTTTCAACCCAAACACACGATAGTCTGATATCTACCTGAATTCTTGACAAAGCTGTTGAAAATTATGTGTAATTTAATATAATGAAAAGACAGATGAATCATGCATTCATTTTTTAAAAATTTTTCCTACCTCACTTTTAATTTTGTATTTTTTACTTTAGCATACTGTAGTTGTACATTGTGACATTTACATAAGTGCTTACAATACGTCCTAATTAGCTTCACCCCCCCCCCCTTATCTTTCTCCTGTTTCCTCCCTTCTTAGGACAATTTTAACGCATTCCATTTTCATACACGAATACAAAATATTCCACCATACTCACCCTCCTTCACCGTTTCCTTATGTCCTCCCTCCTCCGGCTAGTACCCATCCCAGGACAGGACCAGATTTACCTTCTTGTCCCTCATTTTTTAAAAAAGACATTTTTGTTAGTTTATGATAGTTACACAGGGGGGTCTGTTGTGACATTTTCATGTGTGCATGTATTATGCCCCAAACGGTTTCATCCCCTCCACCATTCTCCTGTCTACCTTTTTCCCCTTCTTAAGGTGACATCAACAGGTTTCACTGCTCCATATTCTCACCTTATAGAAAGTCCATCAACCAAATTCACCTTCTTTACTTTCTTCGTTTACCCTCCCTCCCACGAGTGCCCTTTTTTTTTTCTTTTGAAGACATTTGTATGCTCCGTAAATTGCATTGACCATGTATTGGAATGTAATTCTCTGTATGTTAAGAATCAGTTTTTTAAATTATGTTTTAGGAAGCGAGGACCTTGGGCAGTAGATGTATCATGAGTGGATAAAAATTTACCATGGGCCAGCTGCTGAGAAGAACAGCTCTGCGTGTATAAGGGGAGCACAGAACATCAAAGCCGGCCATGTCCCGATCTGGGTGTCACACGCCTAACTGCAGGTCACTATACTGCGGTGTGACTCGTGTTCAACTTGTGATCACTGGAATCTCAAGCTGCATTCCTCTGGGCTCACTCCTCCACTTCTCTGTCTCTTTCATTTGAGATCGACCCCATCATTTACTTGTTACCAAGTGCCTTCCCATATTTATGTAACCCCTACATTGAGACATTTGCTGTTCGATATCAAGGCAACTAAAATTAATATTTCCAAACGTAGAATATTCCACACCTGGTTTCATGCCCTTGGGAAATAAGCCACCCAAGAAATGCCACCCAAGAAATGAATATTTGAGTGCAGTGAGCTCTGGGGCTGCTCTGGGCAGGTAGGAGGTGAGGGACAGACGAGGAATATTAGGGTTTTTCCTGGGAACTCTAATGTCTACATAAAGTGTAGAGAGATACAAAGATGCTGGAATTGTTTTCCCCCAAAGTATATCCTGGAACTATAAAGTGCTATTTCAATACAAATAAAAGAGAATTGGATAGCGAAGAGGCTGAGATGGGTCCTGTGGCGTTCTTTGGGAGTTGGCTGAGCAACTCCAGGCTCCATTGTGCAGCTGCAAGTGTTGAGGGGCAGCAATGTCAAAGAGAAACCATGGCCATGTCAGCAGCGTTTGCAGTAGAATCACGCCTTTCCCAAGGGGACCTTGTACACACATTCTACAGACTTGGTTTGGTGGGTAGCCAGCATGGTGTGTTTATTTCAAATTCTCACGTATTTACAGTTGTCCTTATACACTAGCTTAAGAGAGGCTTCAGGGCAGATATAGTTTTAAACCTTTTTCTTAAAAGAGTCACAAATATGATTGAGCCATCCAACATTTCCTCCTTTAAATCTACCCGTTCCCATCAGAAACGTGTTGGTACACGTCAGGTGATCCAATTCACAGAAAGGACTTGTGAGGAATATAGGAGCAAGAAGAAAGAGCCCACAGACATGGGAAGTGAGAGAAGAGAAATGAACCCTAAGCCATGGTTTATTTCAGGAAGGAAGGGAAACTATGCCTTATTAGAAAGGACCTAAAGAATTGAAGATGGTGAGATCCTTTAAAATGATCATGGCTGGGCTGGAAGCTTTGTCCTACACACCAGCAAGTCACTTTGGTGCTGTTGGTTGAGCCTGGGCAAGAGGCAGAGGGAGAGGCACACCTGTGCTCCTGTGGGTGCCCAGGGTGACCTGGGCAGATATGGAGAAGACAGCTCACCTCGAAGCTGAATCTTGCTCTGTAACCGGTCATGTTGTGACCAGCACTGTGCAGGAAAGCCACTCGAAGTATTCCAGCTGGAAGGATCGGGAATCTGAGCACATCCAAGTGTACCTGAGCTAAGCCACTTGTACCTGGGTGTGGCAGCTTGTTATCTAATCAGCATGGCTGCTGCCTGGCCTTAAAGATGAGCTCCCCTTGGGAGGGTGCAGAGGATCTGCCACCAGTAAACTGTTGCTCAGTGTTAGAGCAACAGAAGGACAGATTGACAGAGGATCCTCTCTGACCGTGTCCACCATAACTTTCCGAACCCCATGAGTAAAGGTAGCTCAGGAAATGGTCTTGATTCTGTGAGTCTTCGTGGCAAGAGTCCACCTTAAGACTCCAAGAACAAATACAAAACAATCTTCCATTTCCATCCCTGATAAAAGAAAAGGGCTTTTGAATTGTTTAGGGCCAATATACAATTCTAATAAGATGACCTGTTCATGCCCCATGAATGGCTGAAGCCCAGGTCCTTCCATCTGGGAAATCCATTCTGTCTTAGGAAACAAGGGCTTATGTTTTAGGTCATTGATCACTAACCTTTATTCACTATGTTTGACTTTCCAGTGACAGGACTTACTGGAATTTAGAGGCAATTCTGCTCTGGCATTAAAAATAGTCATTATTAAAGACTCACGTTGGTATTGCATTAGCACAGTGAGCTACATTTCATTTTAATCCAAAACAAATACTAGAAAATGTTCCTTCCTAAACAGGCAGCAATGCATTTCACGAGCAGTGCAAGGGTGATTAATTTAGAAGCAACCCTGCCACCTGAGGGTTACCATGTAATAGTCCTCTTCCTGTGAGGTGAGCACAGGCCAGGGGCCACTGAGCACACAGCCCTAAGTAGATTTGGAATCTTGACCTCCGTGGGATGTCCTTCATAAAGATGAACAAAGAGTGGGCTGGTGTTTCTATCACTAGCCACTGTAACGCCAGGACTTGTACACAACTTAAAATACCGGTTCACACTTCATGCTTTGAGGAGAAATGGCGAAGTTATTTTAGCCATTTGCAGCACCGTTGGGCGAAGAGGGCAGTTGGTTACGTCAAAAGTACATGTAGTAAGCCCAGTAAAACACATTGGTGAGCATGAAAACCAGAGGAAAAAGCAGTTTAGAGTAGCGATCGACATTGCTGGGGTTTTGAATTGTGAAACAGTCAACAATCCTCTGGATCTTTTCTCGGAAGACGCACTTGACCTTGTCACTGGCTTTCATTGTCAAGTCACTGTAGTCCACGTGATCACCACAAATTTCAACATTGGCAAAGCTGATCTTCCGTTTAAAGCTGGAGATGGAACTGTTGATGATGTTGGTGATATTGACTTCGTCCACCTCCTTCGCCGTCCCCTGGTTCATAGAGAGTGCAGTTAGCTTGGAAGACGTGACATGGCGAAATAAATAAGAGCACAAGGAGCTAATGGCAAGTTAGAGGTCTAAGCACTGAGCAATCGGGTTTAATAGAGAGTGGCACCGAGCATCTCAGCGGTTGGCTGGAGTCGGTTACTTTGTTTGTAGGCACCCAGCTCTAAGTCACAGCATGTATGGCAGAAAGAATAACCAATGGCCACCCTAGATACCAGAATAGAGTGCTGAGTGCTAAGTGCCCAGGCTGTGTAGGTAGCAGACCTGGGTTCCAATATGTCAAAGTATAGCCACCTTAACCCCAGAAGACTTGCTTTCCTTGACTACAAGACGGAGGCTGATGGGAACAGGAAGTGGTATAATTGTGTAAAGGACCTAGCAGGTATTTGGTGAAGTTCTATTCTGTCCCGAGGGAACAACTGACTGTGGGAGAGGATAAAGTGGATACAAGGACATGGTGGTGTTTTGAGGTCTTAGCCATGCAAGTACAAATTGTGATGCTCCCTGCAGTTCCCGGGAGTTGCTGTTCTCCAACATGGTGTCCGAGACACCAAATGTGAGGAGTGGAATGAAATCAGAAAGACTGCTTACTGCTCAGGGGTACATCTTAGGTGAGTCATCTTATTCTCTGAGCAACAGATTTCTTAATAGAAAAGTAAGGGGAATAATGGTACCCATTTCATTGGGTTGTTGGGTAGACTAAAATATGTAGATGTTTCGGACACAGCAAGTGCTCCACGGTGCATCTGTTATTGCATGCACAGCAAAGGCAGGGCATTCTGGCATCTTCAGTGGGGCTCTCAGGAAATCTCCACACGCCCTCTTTGCCAAGCCAGCAAATCTAGATTGGAGGTGAGTAATTAAACTTCCTTCCTTTCTTTTAAGGAAGCCTACAGGGAATAAAATAAATGAAATCCATGGTCGTCTTTGTAGTGCTTGCATAACATGAGTATTTGAGGCATTGCTCACCACAGCCAAACCCAAGAGCTGAAGCAACCGGCTCTTTGGGCTGTTGTAACTCTCACTCCCATACTGGACCCACGAGCTCCTGGCACACTGTCAAAGGTGGGCCCTTTTCCAAATTGGATCCCCATCATTCCTGCTTGTGAGCACAAGCTTTAATACATAGTATCTACCAAATTTAGCTTCCAAATAACCCCAGGGTTCGTGGAGTTGTAACGAGTGAAAATTAACAGCACGGCTCATGTCGAGAGGGAGAGACGGATCAATGTCAGGCTCTGGAGCTGCTCCTGGAATCCCAGCTCTTCCTCTGACTATCTGTGTCTCTGGGATAAGTCACCTACCTCCCTGTTCTTCAGGGTCCACAACTGTAAGAGTGGAGCTATGCTCTCATCGGCTCGCTACAGCACTTGGAATGTTGTACTACTTGCAAAAGGCTTCTTCCCGTGTCTGCTACACGCAAACGCTCAATGAGCAATAGCTGAGCAATAGCTTATTGTAATTCAGAGAGCTGGACCATGGCGTCCCGTGGCTAAATGAATAACTGTCTTTTTCAGTTAGCTAAAAAATGTGCTAATCAAGAAATTTGTCACAATTTAATTTCTTCCACACAGTGCTTGGTAAACTACTGCCTGGGTAATTTAAGAATACAAGGATGCATCAAAAGATTAAATAGTAACTACGTTAGTCTGGAACTTGTAAACAGGGATCACGTTTGGCTCAATACTGGCTTTCTCCTTGATGCTTGTTCTTGTGGTTGTAATTTTATGTTGCATATGGAAAACAGTTATTTTCTGCTAAAGAATTAAATGTATTGATACCTCATTGAGTATGGGGGAAAGAATGGCATTTTAAAGGGACCCTGTGACTTCCAGATATGCACACCTGCACAAGGATGAGTCTCACTGGGAACAGAGTGGATCACAGGGGAAGAGGGACCAGCCCAGCCCCTCTCTGTGGACCAGCATTTGGCACAGGTTATGGAGTGCAGGGTCCTCAGGATTCTTACCCTGTCTTCGGCTGCCATCTGCTGTAAGGAACTGTAATGAACCACTGCATATTCCAGCAAGGCCCCAAACACGAAGCTGAAGCAGATCCCCAGGTACACGTCGATAGCCTTTATGAAGCAGTTGGTGTTGGGTAGAGATGTGCGGGACCCAATCGTCAGCGTGGTCATTGATAACACGGTGGTCACTCCTGGGAAAACAGGCAGGAAGTGACCCATGCTGGCTGCCAGTTAGCCCTCTTGCCACCTGCAGAGTGTCTCTGCTCAGGAGTTGGCAGGTGAGGACAGGTGGACATTATCAGAGATGGAACTTATCTCATTTTGAAAACTCTGCTACCTTCTGGAGCGGGGTTGATTTGTCCATTTGGTATAGATAAGGGCAATTCTCTAAGAATCGACAGGTTTTCTGTCTTCTTAGAGGGGCGGTCAATGCACAAAGTAATTGACAGTGGACTCTAATCACATTTCTGTCTTATCTGTCACTGCAGACCAAATTTAAAGATGCACTGCTCCTAAAGCGACATCTCTGCTGTCTCCCTTTCTCTCTCTCCCTGTAAAAGAATCTCTCAAGAAACCAACTTTTGTAACTGCACTGTGAGTACTAATGAAAGGATGGTAGAAGGAAAGGAAGTTCCTGATGAAACCAGTTCTAAGAAATTGCCTGTTGGAGGACTGGAGGCATGGCTCAAATGGTAGCATGCCTGCCCAGCAAGCAAACACAAGGCTCTGAATTCGAACAAAAAAGTCCAAAAACAACAATTGCCGGTTGGCGTTGCTTACCAATGCAGGTTCTTGCAGGAACGGACTCAAGGGAGATCCAAAATGAAACCCAGGACAAGACCACGAGGAACGTGGAAGGAACATAGGTTTCCAGAATGAAATACAGGACATTCCTGCGGAGCTCAAACTGCAAGACCAGCCGGGTATAGTTTCCTGATGGGGACACAAGACAGACAGATGGAGTCAGGTCTGTCCACACAGTTGCGTGGTCTCTTTGTGGGATGTTTAGCCCGGTTCCTCTCATACTAAGTCTTCTACTATTCAGCAAGATATGCCCAATTTTGAGCTGCCATTGTGACTTCCACAGGGAAGTGAGGAGAAAATGCTGACTGCTAAGCTGCAGTCATGCCTTTTAGAAAACATCCCTACAAAACCGCCAAAGACCAAGAGCACCAAGGCTGGTGGAGGATGTGAACAGTCATCCTCCCTGCTCAGCCTGCAGTAACGCGTGCTCCGTTTGTCACTGTTCCGTTTGTCACTGCTCCTGCCTCCCCGTGAGCTCTGGTCTTACTCTTACTCCTCAGTGCAGGGAGCTCGTGTCTAGTTAGAAACCAGGGGGTTTTGTGCATGGCGTGGGGTGTGTGTGTGTGCAGGATTTGAGCAGCCATGCCCAGGGTCTGCTCCCCAGTGGAGCAGATAGAAGTATAGACCCTACTTCCCTCACCATCTCCACTGAGGGGTGCCTGGACCCCAAAAGGGCGGAGTAGAGAAGAGATGGCGTTTCTGACTTGGAGTGCATCTCTGTGCCTCAGTTCTGTCGTTTTGTTTTGTGTGTAGCCTGAGTTACCTGTCTCCTGCTGTGATGTGGTGACCCAGGTGAAGTACTGTTGGATGGTGTACTGAGCCAGCCGCAGGTTCTCCAGCCCACGCACCGAGTCGTTGCCTCTCAGCCAGGTGAACTCCACGTCGTTTCCGTCATACCCCCCTGGCAAACAAACCAACAGGGATGCTGCAGATCGGAAGGGTTGGAGGAGGCTGCTATACGGACGGCAGAGGCCCTTGGCAAGATGCCTCAGGTCCACTCAGAATGCCACCTGCTGGGGAGCCACCAGCTGAGAACTGGCCCCGTGCCGAGCACTGCCCAAGCCTGGTGGGTGACACTCCTTAGGCATGGCCTCCTTCTTATCTAAATGGCTCTTATTGAGGACATGCTGGTGAGCACAGATGCTGCCACGGCAATAAGATACCGTTTCACACTCATTAGAGTAGCTAAAGTGAAAAAGAGACAGTAACAAATGGTGCAGGTGCAGAGAAGCTGCAACTTCACTGTGGGAATGCAAAGTGGTACGACCACTCTAGAAAAGAGTCCTAAAAACAGATACGTTTACACAAATTGACCCAGAATTCCACTCCTAGGTACCTGCCCAAGAGCAATGCAATCCTACTCACATGAAGACTTGTACACAAATGTTCACGGTGTCATTATCCATAATGACCAGGAGGTATTGACAAACCAAATGTTCATGAACAAATAAACACGATATGAATACACACACATATACACACATATTCACACGTACACACACATACACACATACACACACATACACACACACATAAACACACACACACATACACACACACATACACACACACAGACATCCCTGTATCTGTCTATCTATCTATCTGTTTATCATCTATCATCTATCTGTCTATAGCCATAAAAGGCAAACTGCTCAGCAACAGAAAGGAGTGGAACTCTGAGGACATGCTCCAACATGGATGAGCCTCTCAAAAGCATTTTGTGAAGTGGAAAAGTCACATGCAAGAGCTCACATATTCAGGAAGGACAAATCCATGCCAGCAGAGAGTAGCTTAGGGGTGTCTGGGAACCAGTGGAGGGAAGGTGCCTGGGATCTCTTGAGTGGTGGGGACGTTCCGACAATGCCTGTGGCAATGGTTCTGCAACTTGAGAGGTTAACTAAAAATCCTTGCGTTTTATGGTGTGTGAGTTAAACCCCAATAAACCTGTTGAAAACAATTCTGAGCAGACACTACTGCTTTTCCACTTTGCTGGGAAGGAAACTGAGTCCAGGGAGGTTACCTAAGCGCCTGTGCTTGTAAACACAAACACCTGTCGCCTCCATCTCCAAAGGCTGCTTGGGAAGTGGGATGCCAGGGTTGGGACTCGCATTTTGTTAAGTATAGGCTTACGGGAAGGATAGGCTACTGGGGAGGTGAAGAGGATGGAGATCAGGTACATCTGTGCGTGTGAAGGGGTATAATGAAGCCCACCAAACATAAAAGGGGGGACTGGAATAGGATGGAGGAGGGGAACCTGTTCAAGGTACACTTATGGAATTATTACAACGAATTCCCCTTGCATTATTAATGTACGGTAATTCAAAAATAAAAATTTTAAAAGCCTATGGTAGCCAATGTCTGGTTAATGAGTGCGGAGGATTTTCGGGTAAAAATTGTCTCTTTTAGGGATGAAAACCCTTAGTGACGTTTCTATGCCCAGATAACTGCTAATAAACTCAGGAGGGCTTCCTCTGCTTACTGGGGTGGTATTTGTGTGAGCGGAGGGCTGTGGGATGAGCTCAGCCATGGCACATGGAGGACACAATTACTTCAAATGAGTTCTCTGTTTGATAACCTCAAGTTGTGTTCTGCCATCAAACGGCTGCATTGCTTCAGGAAGTTTCACCCATGTTTAATCTGCGAGATAATTAATCTGTCTGAGCCTTTAATTAAATGTCTACTTCTGAAAAATGGCTGCTGCCTCCTGGTTGTGCTTTCCTGACATTGTCCCCTTGTGTCATATGGACAGGTACAGGGCACAATCAGTTCCCACAGTATGACTATAGTTTTTCTTTTTCCTACATAGCCACATTTTGGGGTCTTAATAAATCATATCTTACTTTCCTATCACGGGTGCCTGGGTTTGGTGGGCATTCCAGAGTGGCTTACCACACCACAGTGGACATTATCGAACAGTGCCAGAGTATTCATTCAACACATGCAAACAGAGTGAATCCAACCTCCTGTCTTTAGCAAATTCCCAGACAACAATTTAGATACCTGTTTGCTGCCATTGCTGTCTTAAACTTTATAAGTATCAGTAATTTAAAAGTCAGAAGCAGGTGTGTGATAAAAGTCAATGATTGCATGTTTGCCTTTCTTTTTTTCTTTTTTTTGTGTGTGGTGCTGGGGATGGAACCCAGGCCTGTTCAGGGAGGTGTGAGCTCTACCACTAAGCTACACCTGAGCTTCTGTGTAGCTTTTCTGACCTCTGCCATTTTACCCTTTCTAGTCTCCTGTGCCTCAGTCGAGTCTGTGTCCACTCCCCACCCTTCCTGCAGCTGCAACTGCTCTCTCCTGTGAGTTCACCCCAGGCTCCTGCAGGGTTCTTACTTTGTGTTGAACCTTTCCTTCTTCCCTAACGAAGTTAAGCCCCTACCCTGTGCTACTTGGTAGACTTCTTAAGTCTGCTACATTGTTTTCATCTCTGTATTGCGACATCACCACGGTGTCTAGCACAGAACAGTCCATTGCTGCCTGGATGAACTGAGTGCATTTTAATGAGGGCAGACAGATGGAACTCAGCAGCCTTCAGACTGCTGGAGAGTTTAGTGGCAAAATAATGTAGAATTGAAGTATTAGAATGTGTCAAAATATTTTTCTTAGGACACAGAGGAAAGGAAAAACACTGGCCTTGGTCCTAAGTAACAGAAAAGGAATTGGCTCAGAAATGTTTGGCTCACTGTGTGAAGTCATTACAGTTCAGTGTGACATCAGCGGGACTTGGGGAGGCCAAAACAGGCATCTGTGCTTACACAATTTGGGGAAAAGGATGATAATAAATGGGTGTTAGAGAACCTGGAAAGAAGTCAGTAAAAGCTTCTCATTATCCCTGCATTACTGTTTAAAGTCACTGTATGGTATACTCAGGAAAAATAGATAGCTCAGATCACAAATGAGTCACTGGGACCAAAAGTCCCATGAGACTTGGGCTAGGGGAGGGGCTGTCTGAGTAAGGGGCCTTTGGACTTTGGATTACTTTACCATGACCTTTTGAGAAAACACAAAGTACACAATGACGGGCTTCGATCTTAGGATCAGTCTCCCGTGTCCCTTTGAGGACACAGGAAGTGCCTCAGCTTCTATGACTGGGAGGTGAAACAACACTGAGCTGGAACAACAGCACTGTTTGGAAGGTCTCTAACAGAGCGCCTGGCACAAGCGTGCACTAGTATTCACCAGGAAAAGAGCCATTATTATTATTAAACGATGTTAATGAGAAAGTCATTTGGCCAAGGAGGCTGGGCAATGGCAAACTGAGGTCATAACAGCTCTGTACTTCCATCCTTCTGACTACAGGTCTTTGCGCTTTAGCCTCTCTGCTTCCTCAGCAATGCATGGTGAGGCTTTTTTTTTTTTTTTTTTTAAGCAATCACTATGCTTTTGCATAAGGAAAAGAAGAGAAAGGAAAAGGAAAAAGAGAGCTTTGGAGGCTTTCTGGAAGTCAAACGGCAGCCCTGGCTGGTTTGGTGTGGGTACAGCCAGAGTAGTAGGTGCAGGGGTGAAGACTGGCCATGGAGTGACTCATAAAGCACTCAGCTGGACTCATAGACCCTTTGAGGATGGTAGCCGGTCAGATGGTATGAATAAAACCTTACAAGCTTAAATAGCAGGTGCCAGTGAGATCTGTTATCATCAAGCTGTTTTCTATAAAACAGAAATACTCACGAAACAAGATCCCATGGTTACATAAATCTGGGGCGTGCTACCACTTCTTGGGATTGCACGTGACTTACCTTATCAGAGGCTCAGAAAAGCTCTGTAACAAGAAGAATGCTAACGTCCGCACTGCCTCTCACGAAATCGCCTCTGCTGTTACAGTGCAAAGCCACCACAGACTGTGAGTGAGTCACAGAGGCTGTGCTCCAAGAGACCTAGCTTACGCCACAGATGACGGGCTGAGTGGATGCATGGGTGTGACGTGCTGACCCCTTGGCCAGACCAGTGACCACATCAAAGCATTTCCTTTGGACCACTTGTCTCCTTGCTGGAGGAGATTTTAGGTACTAATGCACCCGGGCCTCCCCAGAGATGCAGCGTTAGGGTTTTCATGGGGAGGAAGCTGAGTCTGTCTGGAAGTGTGGTCCAATGAATCCAGCATGAATCAGCCAGAAGGAAAGAAGGGAGTAGGTTCCGACCGGTCTGCGAATATACCCATCCATGTCACCAGGAAGTCACCTCGGGCTGCGGGGCCATACTCACAGCTCTCCAGCTGCAACTTGCACGTCTGTGTGTCCATGGGGTACTTAGACAGATCCATGTTACACGTCACAGTCGTTGTGATTCTAGAAAAGGAAGCGCCAGGTTCAGAAAGATGGTTATGAGGAAGCCATAGAAAGTAGACACACCATCCAAGGCCACTAGAAGAGGTCTTTCTTTTTCTTGTGGTGCTGGGGATGGAACTCAGGGCCTTGAAAGCACTCTGCCACTTGAGCCACATCTTCAATCCTTTTTTGTTTTTTTCCCTAGGTAAGGTATCATGCTTTTGCTTGGGCCAGGCTTGAACTGGGGTCCTCCTACCGCTGCCTCCTGGGTAGCTGGGATTATAGGCATGAAGCACTATGCTCAGCTTATTTTTTGTGTTTTGTGGGGGTTTTTTGGCAGTACTGGGGCTTGAACTCAGGACCTCACACTTACAAGGCAGGTGCTGTGCCACTTGAGTCACTCCCTCAGCTCTACTTATTTGCTGGGATAGGGTCTCAGGCTAACTTTGCCCAGGTGAGCCTTGAACTTTCAATCCTCCTGTCTCCGCTTCCCAAGTATCTGGGGATTACAGACATGTACCACCTGCCTCCAAGGGGACTTTAACTTGGACTCTGACATGGATGTATGGCTTGGAGTCCACACCCACAGGATTTTTTGGGGGTTCCTATGTTTAACAACGCTCATGAGACTCGGTTAAAGTTGATCCAGGGTGGAAGACGTAGGAACACTGGCAACTCAGAGGTAAATACCCAGCAATGCTGCACAGCAGACTCACTCGCTGACTGCTTTGAAGTGCTCTTGCACTTAATTTGTCAATGTAAGCTTTGTGACAAACGGTGTGGGGCCAGAACGGTGATCACTGGACTTGTTTAGGCTCACATAGCTCTGAGCAGCAGGCCTGGGATTGGAGCCCCTGTCTCTTGGCTCCTTGGTGGGACCAGGAGGCAGAGGACATGGAGGGCATAGGGTCCAACACCCAAAGATGCTCAAGTGGAGAGTCCAATCTTTGGGACTTTGGCTTCCTTCTGTTTTCAGAGTCACACAGTGGTCAGGCCCACCATCTTGGGTGCTCTAGCGATGACCAAGGTCACAGCACCCCCCTCGAGGAAGCCCAAACTCCCTGTGGAGACAGAACAGGTACTACTGTCTCCCGAGTGCTTCCTGAGAGGCAGTTTCTGGCCGAGGGCTTCACGCGCATTAACAGCTCCCAGGTAGAAATATTGTTTTCATTTTGCTGCTGAGGAAACTGAGATTTAAGAGGGTGAAGTCACTTGCCTAGGGTCACAGAGCTGCTAAGGACAGAGCAAGGACTTGTACCTGAGTTGGTCTGGCTCTAGAGTCAGGCTGTTGACCATTCTGCATCATGAATAATCCTTACACAAGACTGACTGAGCTATTTGCTGTGACACAGTTACACACGTGTGCACACACGCATACAAGACACGCATACAAGATGCACGCACACATGTGCACATATGTGCTGGGGAAACATGGGGAAGGGTGACACTCATGCCGACTGGAGCTGGGGTCAAAGGAGAGGTCTTGTTAGGTTTCTTAGAAGAGGAGTTGACTCTGGGCGGTCTGCAGAAGTCAGTGCTGCTGAGGCCTGTCGGGAAAGTCCACTTACTGGTCAGCTTGGTTCTTGCCTTCTAACCTCACTCTTACTCAGGTTCGAGGTTTATGCCATTCATGTTGGTTCTTGGCCTCCTCCCAAGGCCTCTGGAGGGGAGTGGGCACAGTTTTTGCATGCCCTGCAGAGGGCGAGTCCTCTGTCATGACTGCACATGGCGGGAGCCCCTTCCCTGCCCAGCCAAGCAGAGGCTCCACGAACAGTTGGGTGGAAGGAATGTTAGGCCCTAGTGAATTGGGGGGAGGGCATGTGGAGCCCATGTCTGGGGTGACTGAGGCTTTGGAGACTGCACCTTGCTTCTCTGTACGAACATGACTCAGATGAGTCAATCTGGGTCTGGAGCTCATGCGTCCACTGAGCGCCAGGAAAGGAAGGCTCCTTGTACACCCTGTCTGCTCTTGTCACTGCTTCCTTCTCTTGCTAACTTCGCTTACCCTTCAATACTGAGTTCAGACTTCTGTAACTACCACTCCAAAACCAACAACCCACTCCTCAACTTGACCCGGCATCCAGGGCTCTCTTTGCTCACATGTCTGTGTCCTTGGAGAAGGACGGGTCTTATTTGGCTCTGGTTCTCAGTGTCCAGCACAGGGCCTGGCACACAGGTGCTCCCTAGATGCTCGTAGAGCCAGATGGACCAGAGAGGCCCCCTGCTTTAAAGAGGGCAGGGCATGACAAGGGCGGGAGCACAGAGTGGCCACTTTGGTGCTGGTTGGAACCCCCAAGATGGGATGGTGCCTTTCTTTCCTGATGAGCCCCTCCAACCCTGAAGTCTCAGGTACACTCACCTGAGAGCATAGAGGACGGTGCCATTGGAGAAGAGGCGAATGAGCCTGTTTCTCACTGTGACTTCATGGAGGAAGGACTTCTTGGACTCCACGATGTAGGTGTCCGGCACCCAGAGGAACTCCACGAGGCGGGCATCCAGCGTGAAGCTCTTGTTGCCTTCGAACACCAGCCGCTGGTCAGTCCAGCGCTGTCGGAGGTAAATGGTGGCTGTGAAGTCCTGAGGGGAAGGCAGGGGATGGAGACGGTGGGAAACGGAGCGCTAAAAGACAGAAGGGCCTCGTTTTGCTCCCCTCCCTGCCCTACCTAGCTCAAGAGTGCACGGACACAGGTGACCCTCTCTTCTGCAGCAGCAAGAGAACAAACTGCCTTATTTGTTCTAGAAATAACTCCCGCTGCCAAGAAAAAAAAGCAGCCCCATGTTCAAGGCCTTCACCTACTTGGCGTAAAGGCCCGTGGTGCCGAGACCACAGAGACCCCAGCAAGTTGCTGAGGGTTTGGTGAGCGAAGTGCTTGAGTTGTCCAGGCGTACTCAGCATGCACAGCGGTCCTTTGGCAAACTGCCTGCAGTGGGGCCTTGTGTTTCCTGTGCCCTCTAAATGCTGTCGTCAGAGACAGTTGCCATTGTGTGCCTCCCCTCCCTGGGGGGCGCCTTGATAGCCAGGCGCCCCCACGACACTTCCTTCTGCCCCCCACCATTGTTTTCCTTTGCTAAGTGCACACATTTCACTTCCTGGTGTTTCTTCCTCCCTGCTTTGAATCCTTTCACTTCCTGATGCTCAGAAAAGCCTATTCTAAAAGACTTCCATGGTCTCGAGTGAGCTTGGGAACATCTCTCCCTCCCCGTGTGTTATTCCACTGAGGTCCGCAAGTCTCTCTTTTCTGTTTTTGAGCAAGTCGGAAGTATATCCCCATTAAGCAGAAGGAGACAGGTGCCCTAGGTGCAATCCCAGGGACCCCACTCACCATGTTGCTCTCTGAGATGCTGGAGATGCTCGCTACGTCCAGAGTCAGTGCTATCTGAACGGGGTCTCCTGGGAATGAAGGAGAAACCAGAGAGACTTGCACAGAAACACAAGCACAGGCCTTCCTTCTCCAGCCTCACTTCCCTCCCCTGCTCCCCCTTTGGACTCTACACCCGCCACAAGCATGAGTGAATTGGCAAAACAAAACTGTTAAAAGTGACGAGAGTAATTCTCCCTTATTCAAAAAATTTAAACCATCTACAGCTGTGAAATGGAAAAAGCTCATTTCTACCTTCCTCGTCTCGGAGCAACCTCTAGTGCACCTCCCTTTTGTACGAAAAATATGCACGAATATACTTATCTTAATACACAAGAGACCATGTCGCTGTGAGCACGTTTTAAAGCTTACAGTGAAAGTTCTTGTTCCCCCTTATGTGGATGACTTTTCCTGTGTTTCTTGCAAGAGGGTCACCATGTAGAAAGTGACATGGATTTGGAAATCTGATTCTGAGACCATGGCTTCTCCCCACCCCAGCACTAAGTAAGTTTACCTCCAGAGAGCACCGGGCACGGCTCACGCTGACCTGACACCTTCCTCCTCTTCCCCTACTCTCCAGGAACCTTAACTATGTACAATTCCAGAGCCTTCTGCACTCGGTCCTGGCCACAGTCTCTGCCTCAATCCTGGAGTCTGCAGAGCCGATCCTCGCTCTAGAGACAGAAAGGTCAGAGCCGTCCTCCTCAGAAGCCAAGGCCCCTTCACTCCTCTCCGGATTGGAGACGTGGGAGGAGAGCCCTGGATGTGGACCGTGTGAATTAGGTCTCAGCTGCTCCCCCACGGCCCTGTGATCTGGGACAAGTCACCCAATGATCTAGAGCTGCCGGGTGCTCACCTGCTGGAGTGAACAGGGTGGCAGAGAGGGCTAAATGACATTAGAGGCAGAAGAGAGAATGTGCCTCTCGCAGGAGGCAGAAGGAGAGAATGTGCGCGACAGCTCTGCCTATGCCTCCCAGGAGGAGCTCAGGCCTGTTACCTGTGCCCAGCTTCCAGCTCCATACCCGTCATGTTGCCACAGGGGCCCGAGGAGAGACATTTCCCCATCTGGCCATAATCCTAGCTAAGGCTGGGGAAGGGACAACTTTGCCCCTGGATTACAGAGGCAGTAGCCGTAAATGACTGAGACTGCCCCAGGGGACCGAGGCCCTGCGATACCAGGAAGCGGAGGGCGGAATTCGGAAGAAGCTTGACAACTTCTGATCAGCTGGAAGCAGAGGAAGGAGCTCAACGATTGATGGAGGGAAACCATAGACTTGGGAGACGGAGTTTAGAGCCAGTGCACCGGGAGGACGGAATATTAACAGTGGGTGGGGAGGAGGGACTTCGGTGGGGGTAGACCTGGAAGGTGTGGGAAGAACATGGTGCCAAGTGGCTTCCTGCGCCTCCGAGCAGCAAAGCACGGTGTGAAGAGGAGCCTGGCGTCAGAGGGAGGCAGACATGTCTACAGGTTCACACTCTCCACCCAGTCCTTCCGGTGAGGGAGATGGGAAGTGTCCATTTTACAGAAAGGGAGACTGAGGCTCAGACATCTAAGGTACTTGCTAAGCAGTAGAGCTAGGGGCCAAACGCAGGCTCTTTCTACTGCTGTCTGTTTTGAAGAGGTATGGAGTTTGGTTCGTCCCCCTTCTTTTCCTTACATTCCATAGATATCACTTGAAAAGTTGCTATCTGTCAAGCATTGAGCTTCTGCTGGGGTGAGTGAGTATTAAAAGAAGCAAGACTCCTCCAAGGGCCTCAGCTGAGAGCTGAGAAAGATGTAAACCCAAGTACAGTAATGGCTGCTGTAATGCTTTGGATCAAAATAAGATGTGAAGAAAGGGGATGGACTCTGCAGGAATCCCGGAGGGCTTCTCAGAGGAGGTAGCCTTTGCTCTGTCATCTGATGGGAATGGGCCTTTTCCAGGAAGTCACGTTGGAAGAGCAATTTGAGGCAGATAAGCGTGCAAAGGCATAGAGGCCAGGGTAAGTATGCTGGGAAACATGCACACTGTGGAGCGTGGTGTGGGGGGTACAGGGGAAAACGTTAGGGAGGGTGAGAACGGCAGACAGAAGTGGGGCTGGGAGCAGCCTGGCATGCCTGGGCTTTAGGTAGGCAAGTGACCCAGGAGGTGGCAGTGAGGGGACACAGGAGGTGGTGGGGAGCAGGCTGGAGGGAGGAAGACCAGGAGGCAGTGCTGGAGGCACACTGAGTTCATTGAATAATGGCCGGGGAGTGGGGTGGAGGGAGGGCAGTGGGGGGAGAGGACATCTTTGTCCTGCAGGGGAGAAATGCTTTCCTCAGGTAACTCGGAAACTCACTCATCACCCATCCACAAAACAGCCAGCCCCCTGAAAACCCCTGAGGCTCCTGTCCTTTGGAATTGATGTCCTGGTCACAAAGGATAACCTACCGCCAAAATTGGGCCTGAGGAATTTGTTATAGCCTGCTGTGAGGTTCTCAAAGCCAGGAAGGGACAGCTTTTCACTTCTGCTGACCTCCATGTTAAACTGATTCCCCTGGACGCACGTCCTGGAAGAGAACAGAGTTCGTTGCATTTGCAGTTCTATGTGAGTACACACGCACAGACAGGACAGGACCTTGAACTTGTGTTCACACGCGTGTGTGGTGTGTGTGTGTGTGTTGCATCCATGTACCCGCAGTGACTTTCCTAAGGGGAAGCATCTTCATTTCAGCTGGCGAGTTTGCATCTCCATATTTTGTACCCATTTGCTCTATGTGACCAGGTCACCACCATTTGGGAAACCTCCAGGGGCTCGCCGTCTATGGCCGCTTGGGAAACTTTCGTTCTCTCAGTAGAGGAAGGGGCAGAAGTTTTATCGTCCCCGGTGTTCGGGGAAGTAAAGGGACGAGGGTCTGCCTCACTGTGTGGAAGACAACCTCCCTTTCAGCCTGTGGCCAAACACGGAGAATTCAGAGCAAAGCTCACCTTTGAGTGAAGAGACTCAGACACACCAAGGCCAGGTGGAGACTGGGGCTCATGTTGAGCTGTTCACACAGCGAGGGGCTGGAGGACGACCTGGGGGTGGGGGAGGCGAGGTGAGGGAGACCATGCCAGGCTCCCCAGCCCAGCCCAGCCCAGCCCGGGTGTTCTCTGTGGGTGGCCAGGCACAGCGCTTGCCCAGCGTGCTGGGGAGGGGCCTCCCGGCACATCTGCTGCCTGCGTGTCACTGTCAGTTTGCAGGGTTTTATTTTAAATCCACTTTGCTTAGACAACGGTTCACCAGAACCACGAAGTGTACTCAGTGTACCCCGGGCTGAATATCCGGAGAGCCCTAGACTGTCCTTACGCTGACCTTGCCCTGACACCTCCAAGTCTACACCTGCCCTGAGCGGCCGGACATTCTTCTATTTATCCCAGGCCTCGGCCTGTGAGGTTTTGTTGTTGCTCGGTCCTCACCATGGCCTCGTGTGCTGGACAGGCTAGGCCCTGTCCTGCCATAAGGACTCAGAGGCAAGGACCCCGTACCGTGAATGGCACAGGCGGCTTCAGACGTGGGGTTGGGCACCTGACCCTCACCCTCTTCCTTCAGGACCAGCCATGGCTGGTGCCTTCCTTGGCCTGAGGCCACTTGCTGTTGTCGGAACCCTCCAGGCCTGATCCCTGGAGCTCTGAAACCATGGCTGCAGCGTGCCTGAGGACTGGCGGGCATGGCCCAGGGCCTGGCCGCCTCGGATCTGGGAGCTGCTGTCAGAGAGCAGGAGCAACCAGCAGACCAGCCCATGGCTGGTGACCCTTGCCAGGCAGCCATGGTCGGACCATCCCGTCCCCACAGCAACCTCTAGAATCAGCCATCCCCTCAACCATGTCGTGCTACCTACAAACCGGTGCCTGCAGATCGTCATGGCAACGAGAACAAGGCGGAAGTGTATGAATTTAGAAGTGTAAAAATTCCCAACCGTAAGTCAGTGTGGGGTCCCGATTGGAAACCTTGTACCTCCAGTGTGGGATGTTGGTAGTTGGGGCAGATGTGTGCATGTGGGGGGCGGGGAGGGGGGGCTCAATTTTATTGTAAACCTGAAACTGCTCTAAAAAAAATGAAGTCAATTTAAAAAGACCTTAAAAAGACCAAAACAAACCAGTGTAAGTCCCTCCCTCATTTCTTCTCTGGTCCCAGACCTTGGGGATTTTCACTGTTAGCTATTGTTTTTCTGCACACATACACGTGTATTTGCATACATGTTTCCGCATAAAGAAAAAATATCAAAAAGAAAAATTGGGGTGACAGCGTGTGTTTTTTTGTCATTTACTTTCTCCTACTTAATTGGAGTAGCAACATTTGCGCACCACTCCGGGCATGTGTGCACCCTCACACTTCTTTACGTGGTTACGGCCACCCCCGTTCCACAAAGGCTAAAAGTGAGCTCTGGAGCCTAGGAAGTGTTCCCACGGCTACACAGCAAGCGAGGGCAGCTGAAAGCCAAGCTTTTCAGCGTCAGAGGACGCTGGCAAGTCCTCTGAATCTCAGCACCGCGACATCATCTCGACATTGGGGACACCATGCAGCAGACAGCCTCCCTCTCTCTGAGGCTGCCAGCTAGCTCCTTCCACAGATGTTCAATGTTTGCAGAGCACACATCCTATTTGTGGACATGATGTTATTTCCAAAGATTAAACTGTGACAAAATAGTAACGAACAGCTTTGCGCGGAAGTCAGCTCTTACAATTCTACAGTCTGTTGTGTTTTTGTACCTCCAGCCTTTCCTTCTCAGTCATTAAAAATACCAGTTATAAAAATTAACTTTAAAGCCGGGCACTGGTGCTCACGTCTGTAATCCCAGCTACTGGGAGACAGAGACCAGGAGGATGACGACTGGAAGCCAGCTTCAGGCAAGTAGTTCGCCAGACCCTATCTAAAAAAAAAAAACCATCACAAAAAAAAGAGGGCTGGTGGAGTGGCTCCAGTGGTCGAGTGCCTAACAAGCATGAAGTCTGGAGTTCGAACCTCAGTGCCACCAAAAAAAAAATTCAACATTATTAATCCACCAGTGAGCTTTTTCACACTTTCTTCTTTCAGTCCTTCCACCCAATCCCCGTCCTTCTCCCTTTCCCCAGCATCAAGTTTAAGAGGCTCCCACACCCCTACCCTTTCATTCGATGTTGCAAAGTCTGAACAAGGTCCTCCTAAGAACCTGATCTGAGGCAGCACCTGAGGTCCCCGCCTGGTGGGGACAGCGGTCAGCTGTGACTCACGTGCCCCGTGACCATCCTACCCAGGCACCAGGTCAGAGGATGCTTCATATGTGGAGAAAGCGGACAGGAACTTCTCTGGGGGAGGCTGGGACCCGCCAGGATGGAAGTCACAGAGATGCTGGACAAAGGAGGCTGGGGCCCTCTAGAGGCTGGACAAAGAACTGGAGGCTCGCTCAGCCTCTTCCCCAGCCCTGGGTGTTTGTGACTTCTTCCCGCTCAGGCCTGAATGGCTCAGTTCTATCTAGGGACATTCCTCAATTTCCCACCTCCTCTAGGAAACTTCTCTTGGTCTGGTAAGTTAGGGAACCATCTGGTCTCAGCGCCAAGTGTCCTGTGGACGAAGGCTTTCCCGGTGGCCCGCCCGAGGCCAGCGAGGCAGTGCTTGGGCCTCCGATCTCCCCCAAGCTGGGCTGGGAGGAGAAACGCAACCCAGCCTCCGCTTCCACTTGCTCTGGTGGGGCCGGCCCGGCTCACTTCACAATGGAAGAAAAGAAAGCGCAGGAGGGGAGCTTCCTAGACGCCTGCCAGGGGCTAGGTGCCCTGTCTGGCTCTTACTCTAGTCTCATCTGGTCCAGGGGAACCTCAGGTTCATGCAGGGATTTGGTGAAGTTAAGTGGCCTGGTTCGAATCTGTCTCCCAAGTCCCCAGGCTGTGCACTGCCTCTAGGAGGAGGGCCCTCTACTCCCCAAACTAACTCTGCTCCTTGTGCCAAATCCCCACCTGGGACGAGAGCGCTACCCACTGCACGTTGTAAGGGGCCAAGAAACCAAGCAACTGTCTAGTTTTGTATCTCCCAGCCTGAGCAGAGGCTCGGGCCACTGGGGTTGATGGGGACATTAGAAATGATAGAGGTCCCCTGACCACCAGGGAGCAGTGTCCCAAAGGGGATTCTGGCTGGAACCACCTAGCCTCTGCCTCTGCTGGGCACAAGAAGTCGTAGCAGGCTCCAGAGGGTTTCCAGTTTATGTACTCCATCCTATGGGCTCTCTGGCTAAAATCTCATCTCCACTTAAAGGGGGGAGTTAGAGCTTTGGATTTACACACTTGAGTCTTATTTAGCCTGGCAGGACCTCAGTTTTCCCATCTGACAGATGGGAATACAACCACTCCAAAAATATTAATTTTTATTTTCCCCCCACCCCCTTCAATGAGGAATTCAGTAATCCCACCATAGCTAAGAGGACTCCAAGCTCAAGTTCTTTCTGATACACCCAGCCTGGCACACCTCAGGAAGGACAGGACCAGACCCAGGACATTAGGATCCCCTGGGTGGCTGATGGCACATTTCTCTGGCTCTGAGAAGCAGAGATAATTCCAGTAGGTGTGGGCTTGGCCTCCCACTCCAGAGTCACCACCACACGCATTGTGATGCCCACGCCTGTCACACCCTGGGCTTCTGACGAAGGCACTATTTCCTTGTCCCTGTTCCTTCATGGTAGACAGAAGCATTTGCTGAGAGGAAAGGCAGCAGTGCCAAGAGCCTCCTCCAAGAACATCACAGAAGGGAAGGTGGTGCCAGGCACGGGTTGAGTCTGCAGGTCCTGGCTGGCTGGCAGCACAGGGGCAGACAGCTTCCATGCTGGTGCCAAGGTCTGGCTCTGTCAACCGTTCTCCCCTAGGTTTACTCTTCTCCCCTTAAAAGGAGGCAGTGTAAAGGCCCAGCAGATTCCAGGCCTGGTTCCCTGTCCTCCCCGCTATCTGGGTAGGGCTTGTTTGTACCTGGCTCTCCTTCCTCCCATCTCTGCGAGCACAGGAGAGGCTGGCGGGGCTCTTACCATGCAGCAGTTGGGGATTGCAGGCAGGACTCTCAGGGAGACCATGCTCTTCTGGGTTCCCAGGATTGCCTGGATCTCAGCCCCGACCTCTTGGCTATGTGACCTCTTGGATATGTGCACACAGCCACTCTGACCGAGTGGCTCTGTCTCTGGGGAAGGCAGGGCTGCTGACCCAACCCCCAACCGGGCAGGCACGCAGGTGGGCAGAGCCTCCTGCAGCTCCTCCCTCCCTGGAGCGCTGACTGCTCCTGACTGGTCCTGGGTGTCTGCAGGAACCGTCCATCTCCTGCTGTGGCTTGGGGCTGCCGAAGTTCCCTTCTGACTTCATGACTCAGCCATGCCTTCAGACCCCAGCCAGGAAAGAGTCCTGAGGGTCATGTAACGTGGGTGACCCCCCACCCCATGCCGGGTCGTGCTTTTGGAGGGCACTGTGTCCATCCTGACACAATGGAGTGGGAGTTAACAGCGTGACCTTGGAAAAGCCACTCCAACACTTCAGTCCTCAGCTTCCCATCCATAAAACAAGAGCCTGACCATTTCTAAAACTCTGAGTGCTGGTTGTGCATTGTAGCAGTTTCTTTGGGATCAACAGAAAGCCTGTTCTATGTTAAAAAGGACTTTCAGATCTCAGGACCTCATGCTTTCCAGACCGCAAGTTCCATGAAGAGACACAGACGCCAAGAGAATGAGACAGAGGCTCAGCAGACCCACCAGAAAAAGGTGGCAGAGACTGGGAGAAGGGGGTTAGATTTCTCCATGGCTCCTCCTTCCTATAGCCCAGATCCCCCAGGGAGGACTGTAACTTCCCATGAGTCCCGTCAGGAGCTCTGTAGTAGGGGATCACCCCACAGCCAGCTGGATTTCCTGATAGAAGAGCTCCAACACTGTACCTGGACCCCCGAGTCTTGCGCTTCACAGCCAGGGGCTCCAAAACTCACTCTTGGTTCCTACCTGCTGGTAGAATTCCCTGGAGGGTTGGTTTGCACACTAAGAGTGCCAGGGAGAGAGTCCAACACAGGGGCAGGGCGCAGCTGAGGCTGTGGCA